ATTGTAATACCCCTTTTAATAAAAGATAAAACGGATTGACACAAACATAATAACATGTTTTCCATGCAGATATGAATTTATTTGATCTCAGTGAGTTAACTGTTTTGCATACTGGTTGATTTTCTGCTATCTGTGTCTTTTACGTTTAAGCCTGTTTTAATGAAATTAGTAATAAGATTGGATGCCTTACAATTATACTATGGAAAACATTAATACATGATTAAGCATAAGAATGGAGCAAAATAAGTCTAAGGAAAGCGGTAGATTGCAAACTGATTGTCGTCGCATTACAAACTGATGTTTAATTAAATTCTTGTTTATATAACTCTGTCTTGTGATTACTTTGGATGTGATGGGATCTTAAAACCTGAAATAAAACTAAGTTCAATGACTAGAAACCACCGGAGTCGGAGAAGACAACAGAAGAAGAACAGACGTATACTTAAAGTGGAGAAGGCTCTACTTATTTGGAGAAGGCTCTACTTGAGTGGAGAAGGCTCTACTTATTTGGAGAAGGCTCTACTTGAGTGGAGAAGGCTCTACTTATTTAGAGAAGGCTCTACTTGAGTGGAGAAGGCTCTACTTATTTGGAGAAGGCTCTTTGAAACACAGAGCCTTCTCTTTCTCTTAAATATCATGTATACTGAGTTTTAAATGGTCTGGTTGGTTAAATATGAGTTTCTAAAACTATTTAAAGGTTATTGAATGATGTAATATATTGCTTAGGACTTATAAAATAATAGAGAAGCAAGCTTATATTCTAGAATAAAGGATAGAATTAACATAAGTTTAAACAAGGGCTGTATGTGAAAGATTAAACCACTGATTTGAAGTGCAGACTGTTTTAGAAATCTGATGCCTGTACACGACCCTAAGTTTTAAATTATGTTGTGTAGCTAAGGTTTAAGCATTCTGTTATTGAATTATAGGTATGCTTGGTTGGAATTAACGGACAATTAAATCTGTTGTATATCTCTGTTAGGACACTGTTTGGAGGAGATTTGATGCTTTTGCATGGTCTTAAGTTTTGGATTATGTTTTACAACTGTGTTTTAAGCATGTTTTTATTCAATAATGTGTATGCTTAGTTGGGTTAAACTGATGCTTAAATCTGTACATAAAGTGCATCAGTCAGGGTACTGTTTGGATAAGCAAAATTGCATAAACCTGTTTTATCAATTTAATAGACTGAAACTTGGATTCTGAATTTTCAGTGGAGACATGGTTTAGTGACACACATGTTAAACTATACTTATGATTGTTTTGGAATGCGTTGATAGTTAATTCTACTATTTCTGTCAACTGTGTTAACTGGAGGATTGTATGTACCGGTATGGGACGGTGACATACTAGGTATGATTAGTTAAAACACTAATCCTACTTAATTTGGAATGAGTTGGATTAACCATAAAAAGGTTAAGTTCCACTTATATGGATGTATATGAACCGGTATGGGACGGTGTCATATTAGGGATGGCTTAGTTCAAAACACTAAGACCTACCTATGTTGGGAATGGATTAGTTCAAAACACTAAGTCCGACCCAATTTGGATTCAGGTATGGATTAACCATAAAGGTTAAGTTCATCACCTACATGTGTCATATCAATTGTGAATTGAATAATCTACTATGGTTTTAGAATGGATTTATTTTTATACAGATATCAGACCATTACACAGATGAATGATATTCTGTATTAGAAGGAGTACGGACTTTATATATTTATTATATGTGCCATGGTATGAGCCTGAGTCTCAGGACCATAGTTAGGGCGTGAATATCGCCTAGGATGAATAACTGGACATAGGTGTTGTCCCCTGGTAGGTCTAGGTATTCATGCCCACCTTAGGGTGCGTATTTGCATGTTACTTTCTATTCAGGCTGAGACAGACTTACTGGACTAGCGAGCGTCCTATAGTGTGTACTATATATACATATATGGACTACTCTAGATATTGTTGAGTCTTCCTAGGATGTATCTGCGTATCGGATTACTGTTTGGATCATAGTAGATCAGGACTTGCATGTGGGCCTGACACACTCTATTATTTTTCAGGTGTTGGACAGTACCAGGCTTAGAGCTTGATCGTGTTGATGCAGATACATACACTCACTCTTCCGGTTACATAGGATTTCCTTTCTACTTTAATTTTGGTTTTTAATTATGTAAATTTATTCAAGGTTTTAGGATTAGGGGTCCACTAAGTGGATTCCCGAGTTGTACGGTTTAAAATTATATTAATTTATAATTCAAGTATGAGGATTCTTATTTTAGTTTTCTTCCAGCGTATTATTATTAAGTTTTTTTTAACTCTGTTTTTATTTTCTGTTTGTTTACATATTAATTGTTTGGTATCCCTCGAATCTGTGCTCGGACTTGATCACCCGTGGTTCTAGAATTGAGGGGTATCACAACTATTGCCCCCCAAAATTCATTTTTACCCTTACTTACCTTATATTCTGGATTCGTCCCAGCCCACAGTGCCACCATCATTGCCAAAGTGGGTTTGTGACATACGGGTTATATGCGTGTATATATATATATATAGAAATACCACCCCATCAAGCATCATCACTTCACCACCCCCACCAAGCACCATCTCTTCCTATTTTTCTTTTTCAAAACTGAAACCCATCTCCAATATTCAATCTCAAGCCTATCTACTCAGCTGGTGGTTTCGTATTGTACAACAATGCTTTGAATGTAAGCATTTAGGTTAGACCGAATTGAAGGCAAGCTAATCGGACAAGGGCAAGGTTTAGACGTTCCATTGATTCCAACGAAACAAAGAAGAAAATAGAGCTCAACCCAAACCGTGACGAAGAAGATCATGCGAACTGAAACCATTAATTCAGGCGAACTTGAGTAACGAAGAAGAAATCTGAATGAATCGGCGATGGTGGTGGTAGTGGTGTTGGGTTCGATTAAGACACTACAATGGTGGTGGTGTTTGGTTTGATTAGGGCTTTGCAATCGGTGTCGCGATTGTGGTGGTATTGGGCTTTGATTACAATCGGTGATTGTGGTGGTGGATCGATGAGGGCTCTGTAACCGTGCCACCACAAACTCCTTAAGTGGGTGGTGTAGCGGCGGTGACGGATCGGCGAGGATGAAGACGGGTTCGCTGCGGCGGCTCAGATGTTTCGGCCGTAATGGACGGCGGGCGGTGGTGACAAATTCACGGCGAGCAAGGATCTGGGCACGGTGATGGCTGTCGTGACTGGTTCGGAAGCTCAGCGGCGATGACGGACTGCCGTGACTGGTTCGGAAGATCAGCAGTGGTGACGGACAACTGTGACTGGTTCGGATCGGCCTGGTCTGATCTTTATATATATATATATATATATATATATATATGTATGTATGTATGTACGTATGTATGTATGAATTTGTAACCATATATGTATTATGTGTGTGTGTGTGTGTGTGTGTGTGTGAATTTTGCACACAAAACACATTATTTGATTTGGGTGTTGTATATGGCAGTGAAGAAGTGGAGGTGGGTTCAGAGAGAGAGACAATGGTTTAATGGTAGTTTGGTCTACTTAACATGAATTTTATTGTCATTTGCTTGCATTACAAGGGTAATAGAGTCTTTTTATGTTGTTGATAGGCATTTTAGCCCCTTCAAACTAATTTTTTGATAAAAAAATATTATTTTTTGTACAGAGGGGAGGTCATTGCAAAATAAGGAAAATTTTAGGATCCGCTGTAACAAAATGACAAATCTCAGGTTTAGTTGCAATTAGTCCAAATTTTAGGAAAGGTCATTGTAATTTGCCCTATTAATTAATATAAAAAGGGTCACGGTATAACAAAATGACAAATTTCAGGTTTAGTTGCAATTAGTCCAAATTTCAGGAAGGTCATTATAATTTGCCCTATTAATTAATATAAAAAAGAGACGAATTTAAATTTTAAAAAAATTACTTGTTACCCAATAAAGCATGCAAGTGGATTATCGTCCCTTCTTCTTGAGGGGTGAAGTTGCCTCGCTCGATTCCGGGACGGAGGTAGTTAGTCCATCTAAGTCTGCAACTCTTGCTGCACCTTAGGTCCTTAACCATCCTTTTTCCAGCCAAAAATAAGTTTAATTGATTCATTGGCACTCTATCTGATCAGATGTGTAGATCAAAGGTGAAATTAAGTCCAAAAAATAAAACTAATAAATTATTCTTCAACAAATAATACCTAAAAATCGGATAGGAATTTTATTGATAACTAATAAAACTTGAAATTCATGGTAAAAGAGAAAGGTCTATTAGCCCATTAATATGTGTATATAGAAGGGTAACATAATAATTTCACTTTCTTCCGTACATGACATCAATAAAATTCGTTATTAACTTGAGTTGAGTGTCACAGAAGAGAAATCCGTAGAAATTAATTTCATATTTAAAGAAGATTAAAGTAATTTCTCAGATTATAAAAAAAATTACTATAATTATGATAAATCATAAAAAAGGTCAACGTAATTTAGTAAAGGTCAATGTAACTTATCCAATACTCCGTAATAATTTTAAAAATACATCATACCTTAGATTTCCTAAAGAAATCACATCCTGCCAAAACTCAAGTCAAATTTGGGCTTCACCTGGGCCATCACTTTCATTTTACTTTTCTTTTGGGCAAGACTTGGGTTGCTGTTTGTTTCTTTCCATACGGGCTTCTGGGCTCATCTTGCACATTGAGTTTTATGCCGCAATTATACTTGTAAATTTTTGCTCTATTTAAATATATTCTCACCTGAAAAAAAGGAAGAAACTTCTTAATTTTAAAACCTTAAGGACCTTAAGGTAGATGGAAAATTCACCTGAAGCCAAACGGTCCCTGACAAGAGCTTAAGCTGGACCGATCACCATCCGAACATTGAATTTGAATCCCAGGTTGGGATGAACACTAGATGAGGAAGTAACTTCCACACGGAGTGTTAATCATAGATACAAGTGAGATGGAGGACAAAAAAACACACACACACACACACACAGAAAACCTGATGGAAGCAAACAGCTAAATAAGTCCTATAGTGATAAAAGTTTAATTTAAGCCAAAAGCAGCTCTCAGTTCCTACAAAATGGCTCACAACAGTGGATGTGATTTCACATGGACAAGTTCATGAGAAACCGATCATCATCATATACATCTTTCTAAATCTCCCTCAACATTGATGGAACCACTGGAACCATTTTCCTATAAACATCTGCAATGGTCTGTAATAGAAAGCGACTTTAAGATCCAGCTTCATATGCTCCATCTTGTGAAGAGAGATGCAGGAACATTTTTGAAGGATCCAGAATTGCTTAGGAAGCGCATTGGCTATCTCTTGGGTCCCGTCGTTGAGGTGTCTGCCCTTCTTTCACGCTGAACAGCTCGAGGGACAAATGTGAAGCCACGAGTGTGGCGACGACCAAAGCTGATGGATGAAGGAGAGGAGTCTGAAGTACTTAACTTAGAGACTGCTGAAACAAGACCATCCATGGTTTCTTTTTCTACTTGCATTGCACTTGAATCCTCCTCCTTATGAACTGCTTGCTTCCGTTGGTTCTTCTGCCTCTGTTTCTTCGATAGGTGGGCCTTCTTGAAGAATTCAAATGAAGCAGGGAATTTATGCTTGTCAACCAGATGCTGCTGCCGACTTTTGTAGCTCTTTAGCTTCATACCACAACCTTCAACCAGGCATTCATACTGTTACACAGAAAACATACAAGGACATTAAGATTTCATATTTTAATACCAACATGACACAAAGCACACAATAGTCAATTCTATAACAGCCTGAGTACTGGTAACTGTATGCATTGGCAAGATATTATCCAGCATAAACAAACTCCAAATTATCTCAAAATTGGTTCCGTCAAGCACACTTATCATGTAACCCCAGATAATATCAGTTCTAACTATACGCAAACTGTGCTGACTGCTAAATGAAGAGACCAAAATCAAATGCATGATAAGTACCATAGCAAAACCACGAGCAACTTTTGCCTGAAAAAAGGAATCATGTGCTTCAGATACATGTATGCTGAGTAGACGTGATGTTGGATAGACTCTTGAGCAGACTGAACAAAAAGCAGTGTGCCGTGCGTTGTAGTGATCTTCGAAGTCCTCTAGAGAATTCAAATGTGCACCACAACCAACAATTGGACAAAATACTCCCCTGGTCATGCATTTAATGTTAATAAAAGTTAGTCATTTAGTATGGATTTACAAAGGCACTATAAGGTAGTACATGAAATTAGAAAATGTGTTTTTGTTCATTTTCTAAGGAACAAATTAGGTATCCAACATCACACAAGTGGGAAATGTCATATTAAAGAACAAAACATTTGTTTATAGGATACTTTCCATTTATAAGCTCTAATAGCACTTGTCAGAGTTTTTCTCATGCTGTAGAAGGACAACTTTAAGTGACTCTAGCATGAGCAGAATGCTAATTCAACTTAGAATTCAAACCTAAAATTTTATTTCTTTATACATAACTCTATTAACTGTGACTAAGGGATCAAATGGCATGGATGAGGAATCATAGTCAGTTATTAGGCCTTCCCATCTTAGTAATCTGCTATGCCAAAGAACAACCTGATCAAATTGTACCCCAAGAATGACTTGAAAAATAGCAATAAATGCTTAACACTGTCTGATAAGTTTGCTTATAACATTTGTTGGCTACTAACTTAAGCCACCCCAAGGCTGAGCTCATCACATTTTCTTTTTCTTGTTTTTTGTTCTGCTGACATGACCTGATTGGTGACTAAACTACAGAAAATAAATAAAAACACATTAGTATTGCAATTATCTAACCATATAGTCCTATGTCTAATAATGTAACGTTTTTTTAATGATCCAATATGTACATGGTAAAAGCTTATGGCAGGTCACTAAAAGTTCAGGTTTGCGACATTATCCAGATCAGCGGAAAGCGAAGTACAGAAGACTCTGTATCCAAAGACAGGAATCGATAACATAAAATATAAAGTTTCAGGTTCCATGTAGTCCGGATTTGAACTTTTCATACCAGCAGTGACATAGTAACAAACAACCAGATGTTGTAGTAGAATTAAAAACCAATTTACTTATATGGACTAGTTAAAATTTGACAATAGGAACTTGATTCCTACTTTTAAACTTAAATTTCACAACTAAAATCCGATACTTACGTGTAGCCAGCAGAGGATGCTCTAATAATATGGCAATGGTTCTGCATCAAAATTCCCAGCAACCCCATAACAAACAAGAAGCTCCATATATCCCCCCACCACAAACCAAAAATGCTAAAATACAATCATTACCCCTAACTTTCCATAAACCACATCTACATTTTAGAAAGGGGGATAACCATCAAAGCATGAAAGGATTAAGGAGCACTTGAGCAACTCAACCGAGCCACTACTGGCAATTTAATCAAAATATAATTTGATAAAGGGTAAATTACACTCACACCTCACGAGGTTTGACCTTATTACACACGGTGGTTGAAATTGGGTCTAATATCACCTTGTACCCACCCCTCAGGTTAGACGCATTTGCTCGACGACCCCCTACCGTCAACCAGCCATTAGAACCGTCAGAAAATTTTGACTAAATGACGGCTTTTCCCTTGCCCTTACTAAAAAGACATTAGTAGACTTCTTATATACAAAAAAATACCAATGCATATTAAAAAAAAAAATACCAATGTTACCTTCATTTCTATATATAAATATGGTCACTGTTTCCCCATAAATACACACATATATATATATTCGTAATCTACATTTCTCTCTCTCTCTCTATTTATATATATTCTGCTTTACACACCAGTAGAGAGCATGAATCAAATGAAGAAAAAAAACTAATCGATTGCTTTTGCTCCACATAATCATAAACCTTCCAATTCGAATTCTCTTTATTTTCCTTTTCTTCCTTTCTTCTTCATTAATTTCAATCTCTTTCTTTCTGAGCATTTAAATTTTGATACTACTCAGTAAAGGCTGGCTACTGGTGCTGTGTTTCTCTCTCTCTCTCTAGAGGGCATTAAAGATGGGAATCGAAGGAAGGACCTGAGGCTTTCAACAAGATTAATGAAAGGTTTTGTCAAGTTCATTGGCCAATCCAGTTGCAGAGGATCTACTCAAAATCCATCTCATCGCAGAAGATTGATGGGAGTTTCAGAGGGTTTGAGGGCTCTGGTCCGCCGAATTTGCAGTAGCTGAACGAGAGAGGGGAAAAAAAACACCGAGAGTTTTTTATATATAAATAAAGGGTAAAATAAGTCATTTATTATACAAGATACTTTTATTTTTTAATCTTATAAATTGAAGGGCATAAATGACATTTTATGTGATTTTTAACGTCTGTTGATGGTTTGACTTCAATAAGGGGTGTCATTGAAGAAAAAGCATATCTCGACCACCGTGTGTAATAAGGTCAAATCTCACAGGGTGTAAGACTGTGACTGTAATTTACCCTTTGATAAAATATAGGAATCTCTTGATACTATATATTTATTCAGAGATCCAGCAAAATGAAAGAACATAGAGGAGGCTTCTCAAGGACAACAAATTTTAACAGTTACATGTCTCGATAAGTTTTAGGATCAGATACATCAAGTAAATCACCTGTAGCTTGTGAACTATACCATAACACCCTTTTAATTTCTAACCCATCAAAAGTAATTTTACAACGAAACTTTCATCTTCATCCAAGGAATCCAACTATTTCAGTTCTTTCAATGCTGGAAAAAATGCAGAATTACTGTAGCCAGCTAATCGCAAGTCAAGTCAACGGAAGGAAAAAAATTATTTGTAACCATTAATACCTGCCATCCTCATCTTCAACAATTTGAAGCTGTTGCTTCTCGTCTTCAGTTAAATCCAATGCAACCTAAACAAAAAAGGGAAATAAAGTTAGTTACTGATTAAGTTTCTTTTCTTTTGGCAGGCAACCGAAATCAGAGGTGCAAAATCAAATCTCTTAGAAGGTTTGGCAATATAGGGGTGAACTTTACATACTCAAAAGCAGGAATAAAGCGCGAGTTATTTTCAGAAGATAAGTACTTGAACAACAAGTGTTGAAAATATAATAAAAGGAAATTCTGAAGAATGAAACCAAAACATGACTCTGAAAAGTAGACCGTCTAGAAAGAAAGGAAACGTTGCAGTTCAGCTTAATAAGATTTAGCCAGTATTTAGTTGAATTGATAACTAAAATTATTACAATAACTAATCCTAAAGATTAAGCATTATTAATTTCTCCAATAAAGAAAGAACGCATGGACCTGCACAACCAAAGTGATTCAGAAAACCCAAATTACATGTAAAATTACAATTTAAGAAATATGGGAGTCCACAACATATATAGCTACTATGATATACCTATATATATTTCCTCAATCCTAATTCATCTATTGTCGAATGAAAGAGGAAAAAAACAGCACAAGGAGAAGAAAGATATGCCTTTTTTTTGGCGAATTTTTTTGTAATAAAAAAAATACCTTGGAAAAGAGCTCCTCAACTCAAGTAAATATTACCAAGTAGGATCCTAACAGTTTCAATAAATTGAGTAGAAGTAGATTTAGAATGTTGTTCTGGGAGGATGTCTTGATCATGCACTCAAAATACTAAGTTGCTAACCATGCTTAATCCATGGACCAGATATTAGATAGTCATATCAGCCGGGTGTAGCAAATGAATTATCTCCAACTATAAGAAATAATTTACTCAATCAATTTCAATCTGGAAGCAACTTCATAAATAATCATCTACTCAGTAATATCATTTTCTTGATCATTTACAAAACCCAAAGCCAGTCATTTTTAAACACTTTACCACAACAAACAAAGACCTGAAAGACCATAGTCATTAGCCGAATACAATTTGAATACAATAAAAGAAATATCTTCTTAACTAGTCCCTATAAAGTTCCCATGACTAGCATTTCCTACCATTATAATTCTCTCCATAAATTCAAACCTATACTTTTCCTGAACAAGCATCAGAGACATCCAAATTGATAAATTACTGAAACCTTCCATATTTTTGCCAATCAGTGGCAAATTCTAATCTTAGTTTATACTTAACGAAGCAATTTGAGTACAATAACGCAAATTCTACCCAAAAACAAAAATTCTTGATTTGAAAAATTATCATCACAGAGAATGAATCGTCAAATAAGACATTAACTCAAAACCTACAATCAGAATCATATTCCACAAACTCGTCAATTAAGACTTAAAAGATCTTCAAAGAATTAAAAATAAACAAATAAATAGAAATATATGTTTGTGGGGGATGTGTGTTTACATATACTTGTAATGTACATACACAATCAATAGAGGGAAACGGAAGGAAATGAATGAACCTGTTTGGCGAGAAGTTCTCTTTCAATATTTCCAGATGCGAAGAAAGGGGCGTCGGGACCGAACCGTCGACGAACTGGACTCCAGTACGGAAACCCTAATTGGCCTACGTTCTCTACAACCATCGCCATGTGAGACGCTTCGTGTTTCCCTGAATTCTGAACAGACTATCTCCTGTGTGAACAAACACCTTCGTTTCGTCTTTTCACAGGACGAGAAAATTGGGCTGAAATGGCCCAAAGTTCAGCCAGTACATCCTGAAATTTGGGCCTTTCCAACCCATTAAATTTCAGATTGGACGTGCTAGGCCCAGACCATTGTTAAGGTTCAAAATTGACTGGATTGGGTTTAAAGATTTTCTGGCCCAAACCAACAGGAGCCTGACATAAGATAGTAGGTGTGGATATTATTGCGACTTCACAAATTGCACTATTTACAAGAAGTTTAATAATAACATAATGAATTGTAATGTTGGGGGTGGCAGTATTTTATTGAGGCTAAAGCGAAAATTTTAAAGGAAATATTTTTTTATTTTCAGTATATTAGTATAAATAATAGTATTACCAAGTGTAGATATTTTAGAAACTTTACTACTTAACCAATTGAAAGTAGTCTAGAAAAAGAAAAAATATATATAAAGTGAAGAATTTAAAAAAAAATAAGAAAATATGTGAGAAAAAGAAATAGTCAAAGTAGAATTCTGTTAGATAATTACATAATTCAATTCAATCTAAAAATTAGAGATATTTATGCGTTGAATTTAATCTATTTTAATCACTGACGAAAAGAAAAATTATAATTAAATAAGTGAAAATTTAATTAATATATCTATATGGAACCTTTCTATTGAATATGAGGAGGCAATGTTCCTAATGCTTAGCGATTGAATCCGTCCCGTGGTCGATGACTCAAGCTCATACGGTGAGTGAGCGTGAGAGCATAGTTTATACATTGAATCATAAAAATAAAAGCCTCCTTTAATTATTCAATTCTTTGCAAAGTCAATGATATTCATTCGTCAACTACCAAGGGGTTTCATGGAGGTCTTGTCACACTTCAGTTTCCATTATGTACCGGTACATGATTAATCAAATCATGCGTGTATATAATAGTAGAATATTTGATCATTGAAAGATAAACACGTACATGGACAAAGCTTTTTTTTATTTTTAAGGTAAAAGGACAAAACCTATTTTGCTTACATATACTTTGACCTAACGTATTAAAAAAAAAAGTAATAATCAGCTCTCCGCACCAAAGGCTGTTGCAACTCTTTGTAAAATTATTGAGAAATTATTAGTTTTAGGTTTTAATATTAAAGCTGTCTTTTTATACACTTCTGTCTGATAGACAGCATAAGTCTCTCATCTAAAATGTTCTTCAGGATTGTTGGGGGAAAGAAAAAAAAGAATTATTGCCCTCTAATGATGATGTTGCACAATTACAATCATATGTCTTCATAATTTATACTAGTGTGGACACCTAACTGTGGCACATCAAATGTGACCCTCCACCACTTCTTATGTTGTCGATGTGTCCGAGTCTACAGTCGGGTGTCGTCTGTTATAGAGTTTTCTTAACTCATATAATAATTATAGCTTAGTGAGATATCATAAATTAAAAGAAAAAAAGAAAGTGAAATTTAGAACAAAACACATTTTCTTACAACATGAAGAAGTGGATTCAAGTCTAACCCTAAAAATGATTTTTAAAAAATAGAGGGAATGATTTTTAAAAAATAGAAGGAAGTGATCTGAGAAATGATGGAATATGTAGGGAAGGTAGGGTGTCCATAATTGCTTTATGACTCAGTCTGGAGATTGTTGTGGTTGCTTTCATGGGAAGCATCCCCACCAGTTCCAACACCCTTTAAAAGGAAAGGGTTTATTTTGACTAATTTTTATTTTGATGTCAGCAACTTAGATAAACTTTTTCCGTGGTGGAACTTTGGGGATGTTGGAACTTGGATTTGTTATTGTGTCATTTTCATATGTCTGAATAACAAGCAAGTGATGTTTACCAAACCAAGGCTTCACATATATCACTGAGTGCCCAATTAAAAAACAAATAACAACTGCAAATTTCAATAAACAACTGCATTGAACTTTTCTAGATCCAGATGAATGAGCTAGACTACAAAATTGGACTTGGTTGGTCCAACGAGAAATTGGACTATTGATCAGAAAGGCAGCATTGAAGACAATGCTTATGATGATCACAATAGTAAAAGTTCATTGAACATGAACAGCATAGGTAATGCAGTTGGTAGAGGAGATGGTTTAAGAATTAAAAAGTTCGACTGGTTTTGGTGATGATTGTATGCACTCGGGAGATTACTACTCTCCAGTAGAAAAGCATTTGAGCTACACAATTATAATATTATAAGTTCAATGCATGGAGCTTCAAGTGTGCATAGGCCATAGGCTTTAATCCTTTTGACCTTTTTTTTATTCACCCAACTACTAATAGTTAAATTACAAGTTAACAAGCAAGGATTACGATGTGGTTATAGCTTAATGGGTAAACGCCCACACAAGAAAAGGACCGACATCCACCAGAACAGGAGGTTAGAAGTATGGTTACTAGGATATTGAGTCCTCGATCAGACACTTGGACCAAGTATAGCCTTCTTCTTTGACAAGCACTATTAAAGCCCTTCATCCTTCATCCTTCATCCTTCATCCCATGTCTCTTCTATATATAAAAGCTGTCAATAAGCGCAAGAGAGACACAGAGAGTGATGGAGGCATGGAGATGCATGTATTTGTTTATGGTGGTCATGGTCATGGTCATGGGGAGAGGGGAAGGGCAACTATTTGAGAATTTCTACCGTTCTAGTTGTCCTAATGTAGAAACCATCGTGAAGCAGGTTGTATCCACAAAGGTCAGCCAGACTTTTACCACAATTCCAGCCACGCTTCGTCTATTTTTCCACGATTGCTTTGTTGAGGTACGTCTTAACGCATCTCTATGATTGTTTTCTGCACTGAAAAGACCTGAATGTGTGTTTCGTTAATAATTTGACTTCTGAAAACAGTGGTTAAGGTGTATTTTGTGTGAATGAACAAAAGACAAATATACAATTAAACGATGTAGTATTGTACGTAGAACGTCTTGACATCTGTGTGTCATTCAAGTTATGTTTTAGTAACAATAACAACGCAACAAACAAGGCCTTTTCCAGAAACAATAGTATGTGATGAAACTCAAGAATGCCATGAGCAGCAGTGCAGCACATTTATTTAAGAAGAATACTCATGTTGTGCAAGATATGAGACATAATATATGAAGAATGATTTCTATGGCCATCCAGCTGTGCTCTGCTTTAATTCTATAAGCAACAAGGTATAGGGCATGTAATGCCCTCTCTCTTTTCTGGTTTTAAAGCTATGGGACAGAAAACAGCTTTAAGGATGGAGCAAATAACTCTCATCTGATCAAGTGGATCATATATTATCTCAAGATAGAAAAACATATATAACCAATGATTTGTTTTAAAATGCCATCCCAAGAAAGAAAACAAAAAGATAGAAAGAAATTGTACAAAAAGAGAAAGGGGAATAAAAGAAGAAATGCAAATTTTGGTTCTGGTAGTTGATTTCTTCCCCCTAACCCCAACTTTTTTTCTTGTTTATATTTGTGTTAGCCATTTATATTTACACTTGTATGATGAACCAGAAAAGACTTTTGAATCATGTAAGTGCCTGCCATCTATATAAATAAATTGATGAGGAAATATCACCAGCGATGTTATATATAATAAGATTTCACTTAAATTGTTGTAGGATGGGATCATTCTCATCAGATTTTCATTTATCTCAAACAATTCACTGTCACATGGACGATTGGAAGTACAATGAAAATATAATGCATTCATTGTGTTTCTAGTATGCATATTGATGGGTTGTAACAGTTTCTATGTATCTAAACATATACTGATTTACTTCTAGCAGGGGCATTTTAGAGCATTCATATATGTCCTCGTATTTTATTACCTAAGAGACAAAACAATTTCGAAGAAATGGCCTTGTTACACTGCAAGAATATGAAATTACTTCCACCATTTGGCAGAAGATATACCATTTTTTATATTGGGGTCATTCAATTTTAAAGCATGATTCCATATAAGTACTAATAAAGTGTAGGAAGTAATAGAAATGATGATGATAAATTCATCCAAGTAGACTACGATGAAATGGCCCCAGCTGGATTGGTTTTGTCATAAAATGCTCTGGTGGATCAATCAGCTTTCCTTCGCAGGGATGTGACGCCTCAATTTTGATTGCATCACCAAATGGAGACGCAGAGAAGAATGCTCAAGATAATCTTTCGCTTGCTGGAGATGGCTTCGACACTGTAATTAAGGCAAAGCAAGCAGTAGAAGCAGCATGCCCAGGCATAGTATCATGTGCAGACATCTTGGCTATTGCTACCAGAGATGTTGTAGTGCTGGTAAATATGCAGAAGCCATTAGAACCCTTCAGCAGTTGTTAAGAATGTTTTTACTATAAAACAAAACTAACACCGCCTATTCGTTTGATGTGATGAAATTCATTTCAGGCTGGAGGCCCTTCTTTCAGCGTAGAACTGGGACGGCGTGATGGACTTATCTCCCAGGCATCTCGTGTCACAGGAAATCTTCCGGAACCCTTCTTCAATCTTAATCAACTCAACTCCATCTTTGCCAAGAATAACCTGAGTCAATTTGATATGATTGCTCTGTCTGGGGCTCACACTATAGGCTTCTCCCACTGCAACCGCTTTGCAAACCGCCTCTACTCATTCTCCCCATCCTCTCCAGTAGATCCCTCACTAGATCCTAACTATGCTCAGCAGCTGATGCAAGCCTGCCCCCAGAATGTAGATCCCAGCATAGCCATCACTATGGATCCCGTAACCCCACAAGCTTTCGATAATGTGTATTACCAGAATCTGGTTGCAGGCAAGGGTTTGTTCACTTCAGATGAGGTGCTTTTCACTGACCCAGCATCTCAGCCCACTGTCAATGATTTTGCCAGTAACCCAAGTGACTTTAATGGAGCCTTTATCACGGCAATGAGGAAGCTAGGTAGGGTTGGAATCAAAATTGGTAACCTAGGAGAGATAAGGCATGACTGCACAAGCTTCAACACATGATGACAAATATTCGGCATCACAATAGAGCACCTGACAAAAGCATATAAAATAAGTTCTAACAAGAAATGCCTCATTATCGTGCACTTTGTGAAACAATTTATAATGTGGTGTTCCAGTCCGCAATAGCAAAGCCAATAGGTTGGAATAATTTTGTATTTGTACAAAAGAAAGTTATTGAATAAACTATATCTTCACAATTTTTATTGATTTATCAACACTGGGGTGTAGATCTCACTTCCATGCTAGGCACGATTCTTGAATTCGTTAGAAATGTCGTCCCCAAATCGGTCTTTTAAACACTAGATGCAAAGAAATCTTTCAGTAATTGATTTCCCATGTGAGGAGGCCCCGGATGACATGGGCCAGGTCCGACTCGCAAAACACAACCTTCAGTCCGAACAGCTGGGTCAGCCCATAGAAAGACACTGCCATATGGGCCGAGCGGGAGTAAGCCCATCAAGGGTGACCAGGGCTTACAGAGGAATAGGCCCAGGTCCAGCAATTAGTAAATATCTTGTAAATATCTTGTAAATATCTTGTAAGTATCTATAAATAGGAGTTAGAATGAAGAGGAGAGGGATCTTTTTTGGGTTGAGGTGTAAGAATTCTAGAGAGAGAAAGAATAGAAGGAGTTTCTTGCATCTTCAATTTGCGCCGTCTGTGGGAAACGCATGAAAGTTTGGTTGATCAATGAGGAGTATCGAATGGATTCAAACCAATTCGGTTGATCGAGACTCGATCTTGCGGATTTGAATCCAGATCTGAGCGATTGTGACCTACTCTGGAGGAATTACGATTCTTGAAGCTTTGGCAGGAGTGACTTCAGATCTACGCAACCACGAGTTGCTCGATTGTGGCAGGATCTGACGGATTTAGAGTTCAGACAATTCAGATCTTGTAAACAGTGAGCATAATTCGGAGAATTAGAAGCCAGATCTAAAAATTCCTACTCACGAAGCTCAGATCTACTCGCGAACTTGAGATTAATGCCTTTACTCCGTTCGGGAATAATGATAGGTGAAAGCTCCAATCCGATGGAGGCTGTCCAGCAAACAAAGCTTGAAGAGTTGATGAACTTGATTGAAGCTCTCAGAAAAGAAAATGCAGAATTGAAAGCTGGACTGCAGCATCGGCAAATACCTGCAGTTTCGCATCCGCTTCCGGTCGGAGAAGGAGGTGTTCCATCTAGTATCGCGCATCAAGGCGATCAGGACGAGAACAATCAGTCAGCTCACCACCGTGATGAAAGGATGATGGACAATTTGCCGCCAAATGTTCGTCGAGTTGAAGATCACGAAGGATCGACTCACGTTGATCCGCAGCGGGAAAGGTTTGACCGAGAGGAAGTGATGGAGGTAGATCGCCGTCGAGTAGCGTCGCCTTGGCAGAGAGAGTTCATAGAGGAACGGTCGTTCGATCCGTCTTACCGGCCCTCCATGGTTACTGTCACTCATCACGGTTCGGAGGGCAGAACCGTAACTCACAGAGCTACCGCTGGACTCCAGAGAGAGAATGAAGCTCTCCGATCCGCAGCTCGGACGGTGGATTCACCATTCACCGACGAGATCTTGAATGCGCCGCATCCAAGGAAGTTTGCTATGCCAGTCTTTATTCTGTTTGACGGAACAACCGATCCGATCGATCATGTGTATCATATCCAGTTGAAAATGGCCCTGAATACGGAAAACGACTCTTTAATGTGCAAATGTTTCCCTACAAGCCTGGCCGGACCGGCGCTCAGCTGGTTCAAAAACTTGCCTAGGAGCTCCATTGGCAGTTTCAGGGACCTGTGCGATCGGTTCATAAGCCAGTACTATGGGAACAAACGCCCGCCGAAGGACATCTCGAGCCTGTTCACGATGCGGCAACACAAGGATGAACGGCTCCAGGCCTTTCTTACCAGGTTTAATCTCACTAAGAGTATGGTAATGGAATGCCATCCTTCTACGGCAGTTCAAGCCTTCAAGTTAGCCATGACACGCGGAACTCCGTTTCACACCAGTCTGGTAGTGAATACGCCAGCTACCATGGATGAACTCAATGAGAGAGCCGATGGCTTTGTGCGCCTCGAAGAAGAGGAGGCAGCTAATGCTCGGACAACGTCGCTTGTGTCGACCGAGGAAAAGTCCAAGGCAAAGATCAGGCAGAAGCAGGCTCAGCCGCAACGTCAGACCACTTGGAAGGCCGAAAAAAGGTCCAGGGAGGAAGAGTTGATTACTCCGCTGAAGGTCACTCTGGCGAGGTTGTATCAGGAGAACAAGGACAAGTTTCATCCACCACTGCCAATTAGACAACCCCTCGAACAGAGGGATCAAACTAAACATTGTGCTTTTCATTCTGATTTCGGACATCAGACTAACGAATGCAGGAACCTGAGGAGGCAAGTGGAGATGTTGATAGCTAGAGGGGAGTTTGCGAGTTATGTTCAAGGCTCGGCGATGGAGCAGAATCGACCAGTGGAACAAATAAAAAGGAGTCATAAACAAAGCTCCCACAATTCGCAACCAGTTCGTATAATCAATGCTATCCATGGTCGACCCGAGCCTAGTGAAGAGTCAGATGAGCTGCTACGGGTGCGCCTGCGGCAGGCGCAGATGAAGAAAAGGGTCGGCAATGTGACCACTCTACACCAGCAGAGCCCGTCAATGCAGATAAAGTTCGACTGGACAGACCTGCAGCGTGTTCAACTGCCTCATGACGACCCGTTGGTAGTCAGTTTGACAGTGGCAGATTGCTTGGTGCGCAGAGTTCTGATCAATCCTGGGAGCAGTGCGAATGTTATGCCGAGGGACACATTTGACAAGCTCGACATTAAACCAGAGAGGCTCAAGCCCACCGGAAATCCCTTATTAGGGTTCGATGGGAAGAGGGTGGAACCCGTCGGGATGGTGGAAGTAGAAGTTCAAGCTGCAGAGCGAGCTCTTATGGAAACTTTTGTGGTTGTGGAAATTCACCCCTCGTATAATCTCCTGATGGGAAGAGGATGGATTCACAGAGTCCGAGGTGTACCCTCAACTCTGCATCAGGTCATAAGGTGCCTCGGGCCCGATGGAGATAAAGTGATAGACATTCGGGGGGATCAGGTCGCAGCCAAAGAGTGTTATTCCGTCACACTAAAGCATGCTGGGAAAGGAAAGGCGCCCGTCCGGTCGACAAGCCCCAGATAGCAATTACAGGAACCTCCACTCGAGCAGAATAGGGTGGAGGAGTCAGCCGACTTGACCGAGGAGCCCCTTCTGGATGTGCAGATCGATCAGTCCAGGCCAGAACGAACTACCAGAGTGGGTATAAGACTGACCAGAGAAGAGCAGCAAGAGCTAGTGGATTTCTTGTCCCACAATGTCGACGTATTTGCATGGAGTCACCTCGACATGCCTGGAATTAGTCCTTCCGTATCCTGTCATTCCCTGAATGTCAATCCTAATTTCAAACCAGTGAAACAGAAACAGCGAAGATTTGCTCCAGAACGTAATCAGATCATAACGGAAGAAGTCGATAGGCTGCTTGATGCGGGATTTATCAGAGAGGTGCACTACCCTGAGTGGTTGTCCAACGTCGTTGTGGTGCAAAAGAAAAATGGGAAATGGCGAGTATGCATTGATTTCACCAATTTGAACAAAGCCTGTCCGAAGGACAGCTTCCCGTTGCCTAAGATTGATCAAATGGTGGATGCCATCACTGGGTATGAGCGTTTAACCTTTCTGGACGCATATTCAGGTTATAATCAGATTCCTATGGACCCCGCAGATGAAGAAAAAACTTCTTTTGTCACCGAGCGAGGAACATACTGCTACAAAGTTATGCCTTTTGGATTAAAGAATGCGGGAGCAACTTATCAACGACTTGTTAGCAAAGTTTTTAAGAATCAAATGGGTAAGACTGTCGAAGCCTATATTGATGATATGGTGGTAAAGAGTAGGAAAAAGGATGATCATCTGAAGCATCTGCAAGAGGTATTTGATGTACTAAAGCGATATGGGATGAGGCTCAATCCGACCAAGTGCTCGTTCGGTGTGAGTTCCGGGCAGTTTCTGGGACACGTGGTCAACCGCAGGGGCATCGAAGTTAGCCCCGCTCAAGCAGAGGCTTTGATTAAGAATGCCGAGCCAAAGACGATCAGAGAGGTGCAAGCCCTAACAGGACGAATAGCTGCATTAAGTCGATTTATTTCAAAATTGTCAGACCACTGCAAACCATTCTTTGACACGATTCGGAGCCATGGAAGGCAGGTCTGGGGGGATGAGCAACGACAGGCATTGACTCATTTGAAGCAATATATGCAGAATCCACCAGTCCTGTCAGCCCCAGAACCGGAAGAAAAGTTATTTCTATATCTTGGAGTATCTGGTGTCGCGACGAGTGCCGTTCTGATTCGTTGCAAGGAAGGGGTGCAATACCCGGTATTTTATGTAAGTAAAACACTGATGGAGGCAGAAAAAAGATACTCAAAGGCCGAACGGGTGGTACTTGCACTTGTAAATGCAAAAAGAAAGTTAAGGCATTATTTTGAATCCCACCCCATAGCTGTTCTAACAACTTTCCCAATCAGAACGCTCATGCACAAGCCAGAGCTCTCGGGCAGAATGACAAAGTGGGCCATAGAGTTGAGTTCATTTGACATAACGTACGAGCCGAGAACAGCTATTAAAGGGCAAGCGGTGGCCGATTTCCTACTAGAATGTGATGCCGAAGATACGGAAGAGGACCTTAGGAGCGGCTCTTGGAAACTTTTTGTGGATGGCTCCTCTAACCAGATGGGGGCTGGGATTGGGATCAAACTGCAAACCCCAGAGGGTACTTCCTTGAGCCAAGCACTCAGACTTGAGTTCCGAGCCACCAATAATGAAGCGGAATACGAGGCGTTGCTAAATGGATTAAAGTTGGCCAGAGAGCTACAGATCAAAAGTTTGACAGTGTATAGTGACTCGCAACTGATTGTTCGGCAGGTAAATGGTGAGTACGCAACCAAGGATGACATGATGGGGGCATATCGTTCTGCCGTTCTGCGTAGAGCCAAGGACTTT